TTAGGGTTAGGGTTAGGGTTAGGGTTAGGGTTAGGGTTAGGATTAGGTTAGGGTTAGGGTTAGGGTTTAGGATTAGGTTTAGGGGGGGGGGGGTTAGGTTTAGGGGTTAATTTTAGCTTTAGCGTTTACAGCGTGCTTTTTTCGTCGCACTGTAGTGACGTCAGCTACGCAGTTTCGTCGAGCGCGCTTTAGTCGAACGCGGTTTTGTGGTGGAACCCTCCTAATCAACTCTGATTTTAAAATACGGTTCGCTCATAACAACAACAATGCATCCTTATTAGATGTGTGCATCTTTGTGGGGTACGAAGATGATATAGGATCTCCTGCCTGAGCAGTGGATTAGACCTCCAAGGTCCCCTCCAACCAGATTATTCTGTATTTTGTTAGAAGCCATCAAGTCTGCCAAGGAATGATGCTGAGCAGTTATATTAGAGGTCTTGAAATCATAGACTGCCATCTACTGACTGTTTATAGTCGTATTTATTACACATCAGCTCTTATTTTATTGACATCCAGCCGCATCCTTGTTTTTATTGGGCTAGGTGACTGATGAGAGAGTGGGTTCTTCCCCGAACTTGTGGGTGGGTTCCAAACGTTTCATTACCAGGCTAGGTAACATCTTCAGTGGAGTTTAGGAGATCCTTCATCCTACACTCAAGGTACAGATATTCACTACTATTGCATAGGTGATTGATGTTTAGATCTCTCTCAGTCTAAACTCATTTGCTTTTGTTCTCAGTTCTCCAGTTTGGTTATTTTTTACATTTTGTATATATTCTAGTCTTGCTACTTGCATTTCTTGGTTTTCTTAAAAGTTGAGCTCCTAATTCCCTCCATATTTGCGGGCAGGTTAATATCTCCAAATACTATTTGTAAATATTGTTTCTTAACACATAGGCCAGTGTTTCTCAACTTTGGCAACTTGAAGATGTCCGGACTTCAACTCCCAGAATTCCCCAGCCAGCGAATGCTGGGGAGTTGAAGTCCGGACATCTTCAAGTTACCACGGTTGAAAAACACTGACATAGGCTGTCTAGTAATTCAGCTGGTTTTCTTGTCACTTCAAATAAATTGGGAGGAAGGGAGGGAGGAAGAGAGAGGGGGGGCTCAAAGCCACTTAATCTCATGCCCTTCCTGTGATCTGGGAGTCTTTTGCTCAAGGCTTAACGCTCTTTCAGAAGGTTCCACCACAAAACCGTGTTAGACTAAAGTGCGTTCGACGAAACCGCGTAGCTGACATCATCAACAGGGCGACAACAGCGCGGAGACAGAAGGGTGCTTTAAATAGCGCTTTGAAAGCAAGCCGATTCAACTTAAGGTA